CAGTGACTCTGATAATTGAATACCTTTACCAGTTGTTATTAAAAGATTAATGTTCTTTTTTTCCCCATTAAAAAAACATTAAAAGGCTTTAGAAAAATTATTTATATCTATAATTACTTCACTTCATTTCATTCATTATCCCACAAAATAATCAACATATTGACTGAGCATGAAAAACTGTGGCTCGACTCAGACGTTCTGACAGTTTGAAGCAGAGGAACTGATCAGATGGTCTTACCTTGGCTGAGCAGCAGAGCTGTGAAGAAAACAGAGAGAGGAGGGCGTGTGGACAAGAAAAGAAGAGCAGTAAGTACCAGCGAACAGTCAGGAGGGAAAGCACAATCAAAACAAAACTCCACAATGAAAGCACAAACCTGATCTCACAAGTGAGTCGATATTAACAGTTCAATAAAACCTTTTTGTCTTTACAGTAAAACTTGAGCGCCTTCAGCAACGATCTGTTTTCTTACTCGTCTGTCTTTCAGCTGTTAGTGTTTTTTCCCTGTTCATAACAGTAAGGACAGTCTGAAAAATCATCTGACGTTTAAAGGAAATGTCCCGTCTCCACGTTACACAGAGAAAAGCAGGGTTTGTGTGTCGATGGATGAAAGATGAGTGGCTGTCTCCCTGAAGACGTGTGTCTCTGTGTTCCTCAGATAAGATGAAATTTTATCGATCCTTGTGAGGAGAGTGGGTCGAACAAAAAACAAACAAACAAGTAAAACACAAGAAAAAAAGGAAAAGAAAAGGCAACAAAATATACACAAATAATGTGCCGCTGCCCACCTGCCCACCTGTTCATCTGTTCACCTGGGACAAATAAAGCCCAGCTGCAGTCTGAGCTGCTGTAAAGCCTCTTCTGTGAATTTACTGAAGAGGTGTAACTTAGTTTTGTGACTGAAAGGCTGAAAGCTTTGAAATGCAAAAAACATAACAGCTGTTTTACAGTAATCAGATTATATTCAGACTCCTTCATTCATTCAGCTCAGTAGCTGCTATTTACCACGTCCCTTCAGACCATGCACACTCTGTCATTTCATCACACACCTCAACCTTAGACAGGAAGCAAACATTCAATTCTGTTTTTGCGCCTCTGCATTAGAGCACTTTTCTGCAGATTTCACAAGAAGAGTCCAGTTTGTGATCCTGGTGACAGGAAGACCAGGAGCCTGCTCGTCATTTTTGACAATCAGAGCGTTGTGAACCATGAATTCATCCCCCAGGGTGAGACTGTCAACAT